GGATTCTCAGGAACAGCCTTTTAGGTGTTTCCAAGAGCACAGTTAGAGGAAGGAGGTGTCTGCAACTGAGACTGAGAAGGAGGGGCCGTGACGGGAAAACCAGGAGCTTCTGAAGCTTCCAGGAGGGACTGGTCAGTGGTGGCCAGTGCTGCGTGCAGGCCAGACCACATAGCAGAGAGTTCGCAAGTGACATGGGTTAAAAGCACGGAGGTCCTTGGTGGGCTTGGCCGGCCCTGGAGGGGTGAGGCAGAAGCCGCCTGTCAGCAGACTGTGGAGAGAAAGGCAAGAATTGAGACGAGGCAAGCCCACTGATGCTCGGCTGTGAAGAAGCAGTAGCTCCAGGAAGAGTGTTTGGGTTTTGCTGTTTTTAAAAAGTGGACAGTAAATCTGTCCCATCAACTCCTGTGATTCCAAACCTCTGTAGGTCTTATGGTTTGGATCATGGGCAGCTTTTGAGGACAGGCAGGTAGGCACTTCGTACTTCGCTGCTGGGTTCTTGGCTCTGTGGGCTGCTTGGTGTTGGGGAGGAAGTGGGGCTTCCACCACCACCACCCCCCCCTGCCCCAGCATTTCTGCATTTCTTGTTGTCAAGCGAGGATGCTGTTCCTTACACGCTTCTGAGTCATTTTCAGTTGGGTTTCAAAAGTGCAAAACATTTCCTGAATTCGAGACTATGTATGTATTTTATGTATTTTCAGTGTCCCTTTATGGGGCTGAACGATGTCCTCCAGGGTTGGACTGTTGTGTCTGCCTGGAGTGGAACCCGAGGAGGCAGGAGATGATGTTGGAAATCCCCAGGGTAAAGACTCAGCAGGTGATATTGTGTGTGTGGAGCAGGGTGAGGTGGCCAGGAGGAGCCTGCGTGCGCTCTGAGCCTTCACATGTCACTGGCTTCAGGGTGGATCCTGTAAAATTTATAGGACAAACTGCATTTTTTTTCCCGTTGTGGTTGAGACTAGGACTTGCAAAAGGGAAGCTGTGGCCCTGGCAAGAAGTCAGCGTGAGAAATGTCTGTTTCCAGGTCATCACACAGAAAAAACTGTCGGCTTGTTTGCAGCTCAGACGTTCGTTACCTGAAGCCCAGCTCAGAGGCTTTACTGCTCCCTGGAAATCCATTCCTTGCCCAACTCTGCGGCTGCCTCGTTTATGGGGCCATCTCTCTCCTCTAATCATATGCTCTAGGAAGAGCCGGGGTGGGGACCAGCTTGGCCAAGCCATGACTCCGAATTGAATCTTCTTGAAAGCTGATTTCTGCTGAAACAGCTGGAGAAGTCTGCTGGTGCCGAATGCCTGGGCACTTAGAAGTCCTCTGTGTCAAAGAAAGCCGTCTGTGTTTTGGTGTGACTTTGTTTTGTGTCGCCTGCCTCTGCAAGGGGGCACGACGTGCAGTGTGGCAGAAGTGAGGACGGGGGTGTGTAAGGGGACCGGATCCTGCTGTGATGCGGAGGCGGTGGGTGGAATTCCACCCCGAGGAAATGTTTGCAGAGAAAGTCCCTGGTCACCGGAGCCATTATCCCCAGGACAGGAGTCCTGTTTGCCTTGCCCGTGACTGGCTGTGCAGCAGCCTCCAGTATGTGGAGCGCTAGCTGGGAGCCCGGGCTGCCAGGAGGCCTGGCCTTTCCACACGCGTCCTGCTGGACTGTCTCCCAGTGAGACCCTGGAAAGGCTTGTAAAAGCAGCATGGCGTCCTTGTGCAGGATCTGCAGCTTTTATTACTTGTGACTTTCAATGACTGAGAAAAAGTATTTCTCACCGTTATGCAATCGGGTATCTTTGGGGGGGGCGGGGCTGATGTGTCTTATCTGATTGTCTCACACACTTCTTTTAAAGGTTCGAAATTTCCTGATTTGCCCCATGAAGGAATTCTGTTGTTCTTTTTCCCCTTTCTTCTTCATCTCTCTACTATTTTCACCCAAGCAACTTTGAAAGCTCATCTTGCCTTCAGGAACCATTTAAATCCAGGACATGGAAACCGGGCTGAGGACGCAGGGCCCTGTGAGTCACATGGATTATCAGGTCAGCTGGGACTCTGTCTGCTGGCAGGACAGCAGCCTCAGGCTTGACACACAGCGTTTTGGAACTTTACTTAAACGATGGGTGAGGTTCTGGACCTTGCTGGGTTTCCCATCACCCCTGTGTGATGTTGTGACTTATATGAACAAATACATATTTATACAAAGAAATCTATATTTGATCTTCATTCCCACTCCGGGCATAGGGCTCCTGAAACCCTTGGAAGTTCCTCAGCAACAAGAGTGATAAAGGTCTTTTGTTATTCAGAAAAAGCCCCTTCCTGGCAGCCCTGAGTTATGCCACTGAGCTGGCTTTTGGAAAGGCCCTAAGGATGGGGAACAAACCCTGAGACTAGAGAGCTGGCACTTCCAGTTTCATTCCCAGGGAGGGGAGAGCCGTTGGAGGTTAAATCAATCACCAGTGGCCAGTGATGTGATCAATCATCCCTGCCCTTGAGGCCCCCAGAAAACTACGTGGCAGGAGTAAAGCAGAAAATGTGACACAGGGCATCACAGGATTAAGAAAATCATGTAGCTGTGTTACTGAACTCAGGCTCAGCTGTTCACAGGGGAGAGGGAAGCGTGGCAGGCGAGGCCAAGCTGTTTGCCCTGAGCCAACATGACAGAGCCACCGTCCACTGAGATGGGGACATCTGTGGGCGCAACAGGTTTTGGAGCTGGGGGTTCAGTTCTGGATGTATCGGACTTGAGAGGGTGTATTTGTTTCCTGCTGAAACAAAGTACCACGAACTGAGTGGTCTGAAAGAGTACAAATTCCTTCTCTCACAGTTCTGGAAGTCTGGAATCGGGGTGTCAGTGGGGCCACACTCCCTCTGAGACTCTGATTAGAATCCTTCCTGCCTCTTCCAGCTTCTGGGGGTGGCCGGTCACCCTTGCGGTCCTTAGCCGGCAGCTGCATCTCCCATCGCGCCCATCGCTGCCTCTGTCATCCGAGGGCCTTCTCCCTGGGCGTCTGATCTTTGCGTGGCTTGTGCCTCTTCTTCTAAGGACTCGGGTCATGTTGGATTAGGACCCGGCCTCTAAGCTCATCTGAGCTCGAAGACATCTACAAAACCCCTGCTTCCAAGTCAGGTCACCTAATGAGGTTCTGGGCGTTTAGGACTTCAACACATCTTTCTGGGGACACAACTGAACCCGTAACACATGGCTATTCGACATCCAGGTGGGGGTGTTGAGTAGGAAAAGCCTGTAGCTCAGAGGGGAGGCCCGGGTTGGAGATGAAGCTTGGGGAAGTCGTGGGCACATGGAAGGTGCTTAAGGCTGTGAGACTCGATGGGGTCACTGAGAGAGGGAGTGAGGCTGGAGCCCAGAAGTGGTGCCAGAGCTGAACCCCCAGGGAAGCTGCAGCACATGGGGGAGGTGGGAACCCCAGCAACGAGCCTGAGACGGTTGGTTAGAAGTGGAGGAGGAGCACTAGGAGAGCGAGGGGTCCCGGGATCCAAAGTGAAGAGCGCGTTTCCAGGAGGAGGGAGTGAGGGACTGAGCCAAATTCGGCTGATGGGTCGAGTCAGAGGAGGCTGGAGAACACTCCAGGGTTTGGCCCCCCTGCGGGTCTTGACAAAAACTACAGCTTCCCTGTTGATGGGATTATCCTGCGTGAAACCTTGAGTGTCCATCTCTGGGGCTGTATTTTTCGTGTTCTATGTCTATTTCTAGAAGATTCCTTTATTTGGTAAACAGTCGGCTATGTGTCTGGACTTGGGGTAGAGGCTGAGCATAGAAGGATGGATACTAGACGCCTGGACCTCCCCCTGGACACGACTGTTTCTGGGGAAGATGGGTGAGACAATTAAAAGGCGGTGCAACAGCTCAGTCTCACTGGCCACTAGGGAACTGCACATCAAAACCCCAGTGAGATACCATGCCACACCCGCTAGCATGGCTGTACTATAAAAGACTAATAGCACCATGGAGCTATTGGATAAAATGGACTGTTGATAAATGCTTGTGGGAGGGTACAGTGGTATCTCTACTTTGGAGGTCTGCTTGGCAGTTTTTTAGAAAACATTAAAAATCCATCTAGCCCAGGACCCAACAAGTTTCACCGTTAGGTATTTACCTAAGAGAAATGGAAACTACGTCCACAGAATGACTTGCACAAGAAGGTCCATGGCAGCCTTAGTCACAGCAGCCTAAAACTGGAAGCCACCAGATGCCCATCAAGAGAAGGCTGGACCAGTCGTGATACATTCCTGCAGAGGAACCCTACTCAACGGTGAAGAGCACCTATACCCAGGACAACATGAGGAAAGCCCAAAGACATACTGAGTAGAAGCCAGACCCTCCCCTCACCAGCCCCCACCCCCCAGAAAAACCCAACACGCATGATTCCATTTACATAATGTTCAAGAACTGGTGAAACCAGTCCATGGAGATAGAAAGTCAGAAAGTGGTTGCCTCTGAGGAACAGGAAGGATTGACTGGAAACGGACATAAGGGAACCTTTTGGGAATAATCAGAATTGTTGTATTTTGGTTTGGGAAAACACCATGTCCAAACTCCCCAGTGGAAAATCCAAGATCTTGCATTTTTATTGTATATAAATAACTCACTAAAACTAAAAACAAAAAAGATACCTGTGACAGGTGTTCCCAGGTGCTTACCAACTGCCAGGAGGGGGCCGGGGAGGCGTCCTGGTGGGGAGGTGCTGTTGACTGAGGATTTCTGAGTGACACTGGAAAGGCAGGAGGAGGGCCACCAGCCAAGTGACGACCCCAGCCACAGTCCGGGGTGGGAAGGGGCTTTGCCTTGTTACCAAGTACCAGGGACTGAGAAAGGAAACCCCAGTTATTTCCCTGAATTTATCTTTTAAGGTTTGGCGTGTATCTGAGGCAAAACTGATTCCCCCTCCTGTGCGAGCTTCCTAATGGACTGTGTTCAGGGTTCAGTTTTGTAACAGTTTTTTCAATAAATTTCTGATCGATAGAAGTTTTTCCAAGTAATAAATTGTTCTTGGTACTTCATTTTTAGAAGAAGTATTCAGGAGTGTAACCTGATGGTTTCTGTGTTTTTCCCTAAAAAATAAAAGCTGCAGATACTCGTCGACACCGGGAGCAGCAACTTCGCGGTGGCGGGAGCCCCGCACTCCTACATCGACTCGTACTTTGACGCGGAGAGGTGAGTGATGGGTCCGCGCCTGGCGTGGCCAGGTTTGGGGGCACCCCAGGAACACTGCAGAATGCACTGGAAGAAAACAGCCAAAAGTCTGTTTCACGTTAAGGAAGACGTGCACGTGCGCATATCTGTGATTGTAGGTATGTGTATACGTGTGTGCATATGTAGGTATCTGTGTGCACATGGTGGCATGTGTATTTGTGTATATGCG